TATTCATGATCACGAAATTGTAGGGATAAAAAGAAAGGGAAAATTATCTGTACAAGTAAGCAAGCCATGCATTTTGAGATTCTTAGTTGTTTGATAACCCATGCAAATTCCATGCGGTGTTATAACCATCGCTACTTTAGTATAAGTGGAAAATAATCTCTCTCTTATAGTTTGATTAGGGTTTGTCGTCAAATTAGGTGACACACGATATCCTTTGACCTAACTATGTATAGCAATTCAATTAAAATTAGATGAGGGGATCTTTTTTTTTGGGATAAGTGCACTACAAGTCCTAAAACTTGTCACAAAAGTGCGTTTGAGTCCTAAAACTTGCAAAAAGTTCATTTGAGTCCTAAAACTTGTCAAAATGGTTCATTTGAGTCCTAAAGTTAACACCGTTAGATTTACTAACGGAAAATGCTGACGTGGCGCTGACGTGTCATTTTTAATTATTTTTCTTGAGACACGTGGCGCCACATCAGCAAAAATAAAAATAAAAATTGAAAAAATTGAAAAAAAAAAAAAAAAAGGACCGGCGGTGGCCAAGCCCGGCGGCCACTGCCGGTGGCCGCCGCCACAGCCACCGGGAAGGACCGGCGAGGGTCGCCTGGGCCTTCCCGAAGCCCGGCGACCCTCGCCGGCCCCGGGCGAGGGCCGGCGACCCTCGCTCGAGATCCGGGCGAGGTCGCGCCCTCCCCTAGATCGAGGGTCGCCGGCCCTCGCCGGGACTCGCCGGGGCCGACGAGGGTCGCCGGGCCTTCCGGAAGCCCGGCGACCTCCGCCGGCCCGGGCGAGTCCCCGGCGAGGGCCGGCGACCCTCCCAGTCTGGGGTCGCCGGGCTTCGGGAAGGCCCAGGCGACCCTCGCCGGTCCTTCCCGGCCGCCGGACTTCGGCCACCGGCGGTGGCCGCTGGGCTTGGCCATCGCCGGTTTTTTTTTTTTTTTTTCCTTTTTTTGGTTTTTTTTTCAATTTTTATTTTTATTTTTGCTGACGTGGCGCCACGTGTCTCAAGAAAAATAATTAAAAATGACACGTCAGCGCCACGTCAGCATTTTCTGTTAGTAAATCTAACGGTGTTAACTTTAGGACTCAAATGAACCATTTTAACAAGTTTTAGGACTCAAATGAACTTTTTGCAAGTTTTAGGACTTAAACGCACTTTTGTGACAAGTTTTAGGACTTGTAGTGCACTTATCCCTTTTTTTTTTATTGATATGCACATAGAACAAAAAGTATAAAAAGTCTTTTGTGAATGACCTAACTTTGATCGATGGGAAACTCAATCATAGTTTGGCCTACAAAAAAATCGGCGATGAAAGCTTACAAAAAGATACCGAATGAATGTATCAAAGATAAGAAATTGCCCGGACAAAATAGCCATTGCCGGATCACATGCAATGGCGCCGGAGCTAGTAACTTATACAATGTTATAAATTTACATGGAAATGCACAAGACTGATTCATTGTAAAGAATACGCATGGACTGGACTGACTTCAATGTTGTAGTTCGAGAGCTGTCAAGAATTTCATGATGATCTTACATTTTCAAGAGTCGTAATCATGATACGATGATGTTTCGAGGGGGAGAAAAAAAGGGAAAGGGAAAGAGAGTGTTGTCATTTCTCCTACTTTCTTTCCTTTGGCGCTGATATGGTATTATTATTTTTGGTCAAAGTAATATAGTAATATTATTTTTTGGTCAAAGTGATATAGTATTATTAATATCACACCCCGAAACCTACCAGGACGAAAGATAACATGGCCGTCCTTCCACCCGAAGGACGCAACCTGAAACCACAACCAAAGAACAAACTCTCAAAAGATCCCTGTTGATATCGCTCTCACTCCAATGTCTACTAACCAAAGAACCTAAAAGATTAGAAAAAGAAAGAGTGAGCAACTACAACTCAGTAAGTAGTGCATATTTCTTCTAAGTAGATCGAGCAGTCACTATGCACATACATATAACAATACCGGAAGCTCAAACTTCAATCCAAAGATATAATATAATATATATATATATATATATCAAATCAAATACGAGTTGTTTCATTTCAACAAGACTTTATACAATTAAAAAAATACTCATTTAAATCAATAATATCAAAGCAAAAATCAATGGTCATTCCATTGGCCAAACTTGTCGAAAAACACACGCCAATGGTCCATTTCATTGGCCAATCTCATCGAAAACACATGCCAATGATCCATTCTATTAGCTAATCTCATCGAAAAACACACGTCAATGGTCTATTCCATTAGCCAATCTCATCGAAAAACACACGCCAATGGTTCATTCCATTAACCAATCTCATGCTCAGAAATATAACTATGATCACAGAAAACGCCCCATGAAAAGGGAACCAAGATTCCACCTTTGGCAAGGTCTCCATCTACTATAAGCTGGTGGCTCAGCCCACAAGGATATTTTAGACTAGTATGCGCATCCACAAACCCTCATTGGGTTCACAGAGACACTGAGCATTAAACATTTGTCCTCAACAATATCCTCCACAATGCTAAATCCATAAATCATTTCATAACCATTTCATAAATCACAATATGGTTCCAAAACCATTTCATAATCCATTTCATAAACATAATTCACAAATCAATATGTATAACCTTTAATAACATCTTCCATAAAACGTTTCTCAAATAATCTTAAACCTCGTTCCATAACCCAATTCGCAACATAATACAAATATATCCGTTAACAATATTTTTCTTAAAACCATTATCAAATTTCTCAAATCGTTCTCAAATATCAAAAGGTAGTAATTACCTGATCTAGGATTTTATGCAACAAACATGTTTTAGTAACTCATACGATACTCAAATCCTTATCACTTTCAAAACATGATTTTAGAAACTCAAAAAAGGGATAGCACCGCTCACCTGGAAATGCCTACAATCAAATAACAAAGATTACTCGAACCGTCGAACTCGCAATCCTATCAAATAAGCGAGAAACAACGTTAAAATCGAGTAAAGAGCTACCTCAACTGCAACTCAGCTAAACTAGGCTTAGACGCTAACATAATGACAAAAAGGCGCCCACAAATCGCTCACCCAAAGTGATTACTTAAAGCCATCCGCAATGCGGAGCTCGAACGCGAAACTTGGTTGCGCCATAACTTTCTCCACTAAACTCCGTTCCAAGCGAGCTTATAGTCAAAAGAAAGCCCATTCAGAGCACTACAAGAACCCAACTTGGCTGATCCATAAGCGGGCCAAAGGCAATGAAAATCGGCATGGAAAGCTGCTGTCGTGCACTATTCACCCATTGCAGCCAACTTCAAAAATTTGTTTCGAGTAAACCGCAAGTCCAAATCGAGTTCCATAAAATCACACGGCTCCATGACACCCTAAATTATCAATTCTATATATATACGCAGCTCAACGACTCAAAAATCGGACTTCGCGGCTTGATTTTCACCAAACTCCAAAATTTGAACCCTAACCTGAAAAATACTCCAATTAGACGAACGAGAAGCGCGAGTGTTTATCGAGCGTTGCGTTACGAAGTCAAATCGGCTTGGCGAGACCTCCGTGGCGCAAAACCATCTTCTTTTTTCTCCTTTTTTTTCTTCTTCCTCTTTTCGCCCCTTTATTTTCTTCTTTTCTTCTCTTTCCCCGGGAGCTCTCGGGGCGCATTTGGTAACACTTCTATTTCTCTCTTTTTCTGTTTTTCTGTTCCCTGGAACAAAAAAAGAATAGAAACTTGTTTGGTAACGCATTTTAATTTTCTATTCCCAGAAATAAAAAAATGGCCAAGAAATAGATTTGCAGCAGAAATAAGAAGTAGAAAATATCTACTTCTTTGTTCTCAGAAGTAGAAATAGAAATAGAAAGGTAAAAAGGGTTATGTAAACCCTAAAATTTTTATTTCTTACCTCTTCTTCCTTTCGAGCAGCGGCTTCTTCGGCTCCTCCGTCATCCGTCGTCTGCAGAGGCCACCACCCCCGTCACTCGCGGTAGAGGTGCAATTCCGACCTTCCTTCTTGCTCCTCGAGGGCCGGCGCGACGTTCGTTCCCGGTTCGAGGGTCTTGAGCTCCCGATTACGCGCATTACGGTTCCATCCCCGCCTCGATTGGCCAACGACGGACGTCCGTCGATCGGATTTAGCCCCCGCGGTTTCTGATGTCTGGCGATTTTTGGCGATTCGTCTTTGCAGGTAGCACGACGCCGGGACTTACGACGCGAGGACGAAGACCGCCGGTCCGAACGGCTCGATTCGGAACAAGGAAGAGTACTCCCACGGTGCCAATGCTGGCTTGAAGATCGCTCTTGATTTCTGTGGTGAGCGCTCCCTGCTCTTTCTGAGCTACCTGCCTTGAGGTTTCTCTGCCTTCGCGGTGTTGATTCCTTTGGCAGAGCGGTGTCTACGCCTCTTTGAAGGAAGACTTCCAGATGCTAATCAAGGTATTCTGTTGTGTTAACTTTCCCTTTGTTGTCTGGCCTCCCTTCATTTCCCTCCATCCCTCCCTCCAAATATTATGGGCCACTGTGCTTCTTATTGCTCCAGGCAAAACGTTAAATAGCTATTTATTGTTTTCCTTAAGGTTGCTGCCTGTTAATCTTGAAATGTATGTCCATCTCATCTGAATGTCAATTAGTAAGTTTCCAGGGGAAAGATTTGAATGAGATAAGAAGCACAGTATATATGCTTCTCTTGTTGAGCATTTTCTTGTGGGTGGGTTTGGGATGTGATTATGTTGTTGTTGGTGATCTTTCATTTTGATTAACTAAAACTGAAAAAAAAAAAAAAGAATGATATTTCTTGTGTATGGACGCTACATTATTCCTTGTCTCTATTGCACTTGGTTTGTTGATTGGATTCTCCCTGTGAAGCATGATATTTCTTGTGTCTATTAGTCTTTTCTTGTGTGGTTTTTGGAGGAAAATAGAACAAAGAGGAAGGGTTATAGAGGACAAATTTGTTTGTGATGCTTGTTCTGTTCAACTCCTCAGATCAACTTTGCATTGATTAAATTGGTACTTGCTGCCTGTTGAGCTCAGGCACCTGCAGCTAAAGAAGTTTGTGGCAAAAGTAGCTGATAAGAAGGGGAAAACAGTTGAAGTGGAGAAGCAAGAGCAACTAGATCCTCTTGCTGGAAAACTACAGCAACAGAGGTAACTTTTGTGCTTCTTTATATGTCCTTTAGCCGGATAATCATCTGGAAAATGAGGTCTTATGGAATGACATGCTTCATCCTGAAAAATTTCTTACAAGGATTATATACTAATTTGCAGAAGTGATTACAATATCTGTTTATTAGGTTCAAATGTGGAAATTCTTAATGTCACTCGTCTTTCTGCCTTGTTGAATTGGTTCTTTCATGACACTAGATGGAAAATGTTGGTTGAGTATCCATGTGGCACTTACATTTTCTGGCTGCCAATAATAGAAATCCTATTTGATGAAATTCACTTCCATTTTAATTCCTTTCTAGGGGCAACTGTGGTGGTCAATGTTGGGTGGTTACAATGTTATGGTTTAATGTAGTATTGCGTGTAATTCCTATATGACTATGGTATGATTTAATGCATGGCTCATATGATGCTCAACTAGTGAAGGTTAAATGGCATCACAGAAAGAGGTATTCAATGCAAAGTGGACCGAGCCTTTAACCGATCTGTTTATAAGTTTGTTGGTAGAAGAGGTCAAAAAGGGAAATCGCACCTCTTCTACTTACAACAAAGCAGGGTGGAATAACATACGGGTCGCATTCAATAATCAGACAGGGCTCCAATATAACCCACTACAGTTGAAGAACAAGGTGAACAAGCTGAAAAAACAGTATGGTAGTTTTAAGAAGCTTCTTTCACAATCCGGATTTGGCTGGGATAATGTGAATAAAACAGTTGTTGTGGATGATCCAAGCATATGGGAACCTCACATCAAGGTATCATTTAACTTTTTGTGTTTTTAAGATCATTGTAGATGTAAGTTTTAAGATGTTTGATTATATTGCTAACGTATGTCATCATTGTGAGAATTGCAGGATAATAGTGAGTGGGCAAAATTCAAGAAGGATGGGTTTCCTCAGTATCCCAACCTGTGTATTGTATTTGGTGATACATATGCTACTGGGGAGCATGCAATAGGAAATGCTGAAGACTTGATGTTGTCAGATGATGACGAGGGACTATTCAATGGTGGTGGTTATGCAAACAGTAATCCAGAAGACATCAGTGAACACCACCTTGATGAGGGAGTATTTACATCTGACAAGACAACTACTCCACTTCATGACAAGCACAAATTGGATAGGACTCCAAATACAAAGAGGAGAAGAGCGAGTAATGCATTCAATGTTGCCAGCACCTGCAAAGCCATACAGGATATGATCAAAGCTAGGGCTAGTCAATCTATGACTGGCTCTGTCACTTCACAGGTCACATCACCACCTGTAGACCCCTACTCTGTATCTGCTGTGATTGATGTCCTCGTTAGCATGCCTAACTTGGACCAAAATCTTTACACCAAAGCAGTGGAACGAGCATGCGCTAGTGCTAGATGGTGTGAGGCTTTCATCAAAACCCCAACTAAATGGAGAAATGCACTTCTCCAAGCTCTTAACTAGATGTTGGGAATTGTATCGTGGATTGCGTAGGATTTTCATGACTTTGTGTTTCATTTTACTCTATGACTTATGGTATTGTTTGTTATTTGGTTTTTAAACATATTCATGTTGAGACTATTGTATTTGTGCGGTGGCATGGGTGTGATGGATTGCGTGGGATATTTATATTTGGTTTGCTTTCACTCTATGACTTATGTTATTTAGTTGTTGTTGGTTATTTTTTCTGGATATCCATATTGATGTGCTATTATTTGTTTAAATGGCATAGGTACTATGAAAGGGGGAACAAATAGTGTGTCTAATGGGGAGGTAGCACCGGTTGAACAATACTTGGATGAGTTTGATATTGATCTAATAATAGGATGGTTGTGCACTTTTTCAATGGACACGTTCGTGCATTTGAGAGAACCTATTAGGGACAGCAAATTATCAGGACCCGAATGGGTAAGAGAGATTGTTTATGGACATTCAGATAGAATATATGAAGCATTTAGAATGGAGAGACATGTTTTTCTAAACCTATGTGATTTAATGAGGGCAAGAGGCTGGTTGAAAGATAGTCAGTATGTTAGGACAGATGAACAAGTTGGGATTTTCTTGTCTTTGGTTGGTCACAAGAACTCCATCAGAGATTTATGTGAGAGATTCCAACATTCGGAAGAAACAATCAGCAAGTATTTTACCATAGTGTTGAAAGCCGTTATGAAACTGGCAAAAGAGGTTATCAAGCCACCTTCTTTTGATATTGTCCCAGAAGAGATTCTTATGGATCCTAACCATAAACTCTACTTCAAGGTATGATTTAATGTTGATTTTACTCTATTAAATACATGTGTCGATAATCTTATATGACATTAGACTTTTATAAAATCACAGGGCTGCGTAGGTGCTATTGATGGCACCCACGTTAATGCTTCTGTGCCTGTGTCGAAGCAAATCCCATTTAGAGGCAGGAAAGGGACTACCACCCAGAATGTTTTGTGTGTTTGTTCATTTGATATGAAATTTACTTTCGTATATGCTGGGTGGGAAGGATTTGCCAACGATTGTCGGGTGCTCTCGACAGCACTCGAGACTCCTCAACTGCAATTTCCTCGACCACCACCCGGTATTTACTTTGTATATAATGATTAATTTTCTGTATGATTATATTGCGTTGATGTCATAACAAATTTATATATACCTTGTTATAGGAAAATACTACGTGGTAGATTCTGGTTATGCAGCACTTGAAGGATTTTTAACTCCGTTTAAAAGGTGAACGGTATCATCTAAATGATTATAGGGGTAGGGAGAGACGGCCCAGAACAGCAAGAGAATTGTTCAACCATAGGCATTCTTCATTAAGGAATGTCATTGAGAGGTCATTTGGGGCATTAAAGAATCGCTTCTTCATTTTGAGACACATACCTCCATTTACAATTCGCAAGCAAGCATGTATTGTAATTGCATGTTGTGCTATCCATAATTACATTCGTGATCAAGATAGGATGGACAAAAATTTTTCCCTATATGGAGACCTGGACTACCCATTTGGACCTACACAAGTGGAGGATGCAGATGAGTGGCATGAGGAGGCAGTTGAGATGAACATGCTTAGGAAAAATATTGCAAATCAAATGGCAAGGAATAACAATATGCCTAAGATTCCATGACTTTATGTTTCTGACTTTTGTTATGTTGTTCATAAATATTTGGCAACATTTTGTTAATTAGCAGGTATTATTATCGTTGTATTTTTGAAATCCAAAGCCTGTGCAGCGTTTCAAACAGAGGTTTGGCAAGCTTTGAATATTTGGCAAAGCATGAGTTGATGGGATATTTTAGTACTAGGAGTACAGAGAATCTCATTGGAGTGTTGGCATTCAACTACATTTTTCTTGCTGCAAATGAAGACTACTCCTCCACCTACATGTTCAACTTTATTGGATGAAAACAAGATGTAAATATTTATATATATAAGTCACAATCAAATTTAAATTGATTTTGTAAACTTAATCATTATAAGAAAATGAAGGATTCATGTCTATATAAATCAATTTTCAAAGGTACTGTGACTATTTAAGTGATTAATAAAGCGAATGGATCATATTCAAGCGCCCACTAAAATCGGCATCATCCACGTATTATTGTAATGTCGTATATGGAGTTTCGAATGTTCTTTATATATATATAGTGGCAAAGAATTCTATGCATCATAGGAAAGAGTTCATAAAGAGAAAGAAATGTATAATCTTCTTAAGTGACAAAAATTAGTGACGTCAGCTATTGTAAATTATAGCACTGTCAATGTTGACCTAGAGAGTTCTTCACATTCGTAGAATGAGTTCTTGTTTTGTTTATTTATTGGTAATAAAAACAACTAAAACATGGTTAAGATGTAAGTATTCTTTTTTATCTTTTGGTAATTTAATATGAGAATAAATAGTATTTATAATAGCGGTTGTGAAGAAACTTTTGAAATAGATAAATATGGTATTCAGAATAATTGGTTGATTACGATAATTAATTTTATATATATATATATATATATATATATATATATATATATATATATAATGTAGTGTGAGTTAAAAAGGATTAAACAAACCAATAAACAATGCTTCTTGATTTTTTTCATTTATAACTTGTACTTACACTTAAATAAAAGATATAAACTTGAATGAAAAAAATTGGAAATAGAAATTTTTTTGATTGTACCAAACGCATTTCTATTCTTTTTCTATTTCGGAATAGAAATTTTGTAGCTACCAAACACATTTTTACAGAAATAGAAATTTTGTGCTATTACAAACGCCTTATTTTGTTCAGAAACTCTTCCAAAAAATAGAAATAAAAAAATTTATTTCTGAAAAGAAATTGTTCTCAGAAATAGAAGTGTTAGCATACGCACCCTCGATATCTCCATAAAATGACCAGAAGTCCACTAAAGCTTCTTTGTCGACCTTTTTTTTCTTCCTTTGACCTATTGACTTGATAATCCATATTTTACAATTAATATGATGTCATTTAATTCGATTAGACATCAGCCAAAAAGTCTACACCTGCCAAAGTTTTCCAATCTACCCGTCAATCACCTTCGTCCCGTCCATCGCCACTTCCCAAAACGAAGCTCCGATTCATGTTCCTGTCGTCCCGAGCGTGACTTACCAACACACTTTGATCGCCTGCGACCCCCGAAAGACTGCCTACTCTCTTTCTTCTCTCGTCACTGCCCATAGAAACCCCGCAATGGCCAACATCCAGGGACGCGGAGGACGCGATGGAGAAGAGGAAGTCGGGAAGCTGGCGGTCCGGCTGGCCAACGCGGTGGTGCTCCCGATGGTCCTCAAGTCGGCCCTCGAGCTCAACGTCATCGACGCCCTCGTCTCCGCCGGCGGGTTCCTCTCCCCCGCCGAGATAGCGAGCCGGGTGGGCTCCAAGAACCCGGGGGCTCCGGTGATGCTGGACCGGATGATGCGCCTCTTGGCGAGCCACGGCGTGATCGAGTGGCGTGCGAGGAGGGGCGACGGCGACGGAGGCGGAGATGGAGGGGAGATAGAGTACGGCGCGGGACCCATGTGCAGGTTCTTGGCGAAGGACGAAGAAGGGGCCGCTGTCGGTCCTCTGTTTCTGCTGCATCATGACAAGGTCTTCATGGAGAGTTGGTATGCAGTTTTTGTTTAGGTCTATCAGCTTAGATTATTAAAACGACTTTAGGCTAAAAAGTGGTTTCTGTGAACAATGGCCTCTGTGATTGTTGACTGGCGCGATTCCAATGGTGAATATTAGGTTACTCGTTGAAATGCTGAAACCAAAATTTAATTGCGTCACTTGACGGTGACAGTTCACGCTGTGTCGTCGACTGTGAATCTTGAAAAAACGCTTGATGCAAGGAAAGATTACTATATTTCTGAAGAACCAATTGAAATGTGTCTTGCCCTCTCGGAGACGATTGTGTTCATGTTCGATTTGCCGTGGATCGTATTATGAGGCCGTGTCCAAAATTGTTCCATTGAAACAGCACCAGTTGAAGGGACGGCTATATTTAACCAAACAAAAGAAAAAGGGGGGGACTGCTATTTTAATTTCAAAGATTACAGATGTCTATACAGATTTCTGCACTTGTGGGCCTCATCCAAGTTTGGTTAATCCCAAAAACTACGCATTTCTACCTGTACAGATCTATGGCTGCTTCAATTTTCATGGACTAATCTCAGGTACCATTTGAACGATGTCATCATGGACGGAGGGGTTCCGTTCGAGAGGGCATATGGGATGACGGCGTTCGAGTATCCTGCCATTGACGATAGGTTCAACCGAGTTTTCAACCGAGCCATGTCGAGTCATACAACCTTGATAATGAAGAAGATACTTGACGTCTACGGAGGGTTCCAAGGCGTCAAAGTGTTGGTCGATGTGGGAGGCGGCGTCGGGGTCACTCTCAAGATGATCACCTCCAAGCATCCCCACATCAAGGGCATCAATTTCGACCTGCCTCACGTCTTGGCGGATGCTCCTTCTTATCCAGGTAAACCAAATCCAGGACCTTAGTATTCCGCAAGAACACTGAACTCGTTGCTTCTAGTTACATCATTCGACAATCTCTTGGTCCTGTTTTTGCGATAATGTGTTGATGTCTTGTGTTTTAGGTGTGGAGCATGTTGGCGGAGATATGTTTGAGAGTGTTCCTAGAGGAGATGCCATTTTCATGAAGGTAAAGACATCAACTTATCTAATGGTCATTTAACTTGTGAAGTGTGAGGCCTTAAACGTGTTTTCTTCATAGCTCTGAGAAATTCCTCTTTCACTTTCCCTTTCCTCAAACCATTCAAAGAAAAATAATCTGATTTTTCCTAAGTAATCTCCACAACCGACGCTAGGAGGGTTTTCAGGAATCGATGAGAACAGCCACATATATCAGGATAATTACTATGAGAGAAACCTTAAGTTGAAGAAACTATAGTAAAACTCCCATTATTTAAATAAGTTGCACCATATTCCTTGGGATTAATTCGTTCTCTTATTTCATGATTTTGTTAACATCAAAGTTGTCCTTCACAATTACATTACTTCTTTATAGTTTTCTAATCAGATTAATCTATGAACATTTACATGCAGTGGATACTCCATGATTGGAGTGATGAGCATTGCTCGAAATTTCTAAAGAACTGTTATGAGGCTCTGCCCGCCAATGGGAAGGTGATCATCATCGAGTCAATTCTTCCTGTGGTTCCAGATAGAAATGTCTCTTCAAACATTGTATTCGAGCAAGACCTGTTCATGTTTGCTCAAAATCCCGGCGGGAAAGAAAGGACGCAAAAGGAGTTTGAGGCCTTGGCGGTGCAAGCGGGATTCGCTGGCTGCGAAGTCAAATGCTGCGCGTACAACAGTTGGGTGATGGAGTTCCCCAAAACAGTGGGTCATTAAGTCTGTTGAGGTCTATTCCTGATTGCACTTCGAGCTCAGATAATTGCGGAACAAGTGTTGGATTCTCTTTTTTATTATCCCCTTGATGGTGTGAATCAGATGATTACCTTCTCTAGGAGTAAAAGAAATAAAAGGAGGCGCTTTTCCTATAATATTTAAAGCATTTAGAAGAAAATTACTTCACACCTTAATCCTCTTAGCATGACTGCACACCTTAATCCTCTTAGCATTGTCTCACACAATTCCATCCCATACAGACAGGTGATGTGGTAGCATCTAATATAAGCAGCCATCAGGGCCATGAGAAATTCCCAATGTTCTGTTGCAAAAGGGTAAATGGAATTCTTCTAATCAAGCTTAAATAGCAGAGACGCATCAAAGAGGAGAAAAAAGTAGAAAGCTACTTATGAAACAGAATTAGAATAAGTTATTATATATCTCTTGAAGATGTGTGAAAGCATACAGACCCAAGAAGAGCATGTAAATGCAATACTGAAACAAGCATCTTTGTGCGGGGGAACCACGCCCTGCTACAAGTTCTGAGACAGATACCGAGAAAGAAGTAGAATAGAGCAGTTCAAGCTAGCAGTTACATCCACTTGACACTCACAGACTTGCCTTTATTTCGCCGAACATTTAGAAGAAAATTTACATATGAGACTTGAGATCTTCAGAGTACAAAAGAGAGTTCCAAGTTGGGTTCCTCGGAAGAAAAGTGTCCTGCCCAAGCAAACATTTGATTAGTAGCATTTCCAAACTACTCTATATATGGTGATTGAAGAACTGAGTGCGGTAAGAGTAACCAATACAAGAAGACATGGATCCGCGTTCACCGATTGTAAGTGCAGAAAGGGAACGAGGGAAAGAAACGGCACAGGCACAGGCACAAGCAATTCTGTGGGTCCCGGGAAGAAAGGGAACTGGGGAAAGAAACGGCACAGGCACAAGCAATTCTGTGGGTCCCGGGAAGAATGAGTGATAATAGACAACAAAAACAGGAATTGAAATACAAAGTCGGGTTGCTTCATTTCTTCAAATCACTTAGCAACGCCAGAGAAATGACAAAAACCCAGCTCCATCATCAGATAAATTTCATCAAACACTTCGTGGGCATGGGTTCCATGACAAGGAGACACATCCAAAACAGAGGAAGAGGACGAAGGGTTTCGAGAACGGACCGAGACGTAAGAGCATGTGGGGACGACGGACATGGAGTTGGTCTTGGCATGCTGGAATGCGGAGACGCAGAGGTGGGAGGCCAAGCCCAGGCCTCGCTTCGAGGGAGGGACGAAGGTGTGGACGATGTCCATCACCCCGCCGCCGCCTCGGAGCGCGTACTGGAGGTAGGCCTTCTTGTCCTCCGTCTCGAACCTCTGCTGGGGCTGGTTCCACACTATCTTCGGGCCCTCGCCGGAGGTTCCGCCGCCGGCGGTGGTGGTGGTAGCCGCCGCCATCTCTCTCTCTCTCTCTCTCTCCGGCTTCCGCTTCCTGGGTCCCGTGAGCGCGGAACTGGGAGTATGCGGTTTCCCGGTAGTTAGGAGAATGAATCAACGAAGGTGACTCGGTCAAAGTCTTTAGGAACGATGACGTTGACCATAACGTCTAACATGCATCCACCACATGAGCATACGTGGGCGCTGTAAATTGCAATATAAATTCTTTTTCCTTTTTCACATTATATTCTAGATTTTTGTTTTTTTTTTGTTTTTGAATTTCTTGGCTGAGAAATTGAAAAAAATAACATTATACATACATATATTTGCTCGAACGCAAGATTATGGTAACAAAAGAACAAGTAAAACTAACGAATGAAATAAATTAATCGATTCATTTCGTACATCAAAACATTTGGCATTGAATAATTTCTTCTCTTATTTTTCATCATGTACTCATAGATGGGAATCATATATATCGTTTCCTATAACTTTCCTCTCCTTTCTTTTGTTAATCAACCTTTCTTTCTTTCTATTTTTTTCAAAGATAAGTGCATTAGAAAATTTAAAACTTATCAGTAAAGTACAATTGAACTCTAAAACTTTTTAAAAAGGTAATCGAATCCTATAACTATTGAATTGGTGCAATCAAATTATGTTAGCTCTGTCTAATTTGAATTACAAAAAATGGTCACGGTGGTTTCTTTTATTACATTTTTCTTTTAACGTGACCTCTATGTCAATAAAGAGCTCAAAATGACCAAAACGATGCCGTATAAGTGCTCCCGTTTGCAGCTAGGCTTTTGGGGCCAAATACGGGACATGGGCGATGAGATACTGATGCTGATATCCGTATCGTGGGCGGATAATGCGCACCATACGGCCAAAGAAGGATCAGATTTTAGGACTTTAACTTTTGATTGGACAAACTGGCATATCATGCAAAGTGGAACTTTGTGTTACAGGGAAGAGAGACCGAATGCCAAATGCCTAGCAACTCAGCAGCAAATCTTGAACACTTCTGTAGAAATTAGGAGGACTAATGAAGAAATTCCGGTTTAGTCCCAGAACTCGACAGAACCGATTCTGGGGATAACCGATTCCGTGAATCTACAACCGGTTCGATTCCTTGTACCAAGGCCAAAATCGCCGGAGCTACCCACGATTCTATTCAAACTAGTTTGATTGGTTTTTTGAATTGAACTAGTTCTAATCCCATTTTCAAGTCTCTTTGAGGAAGAAGAAGAAGAAGAAGATACTTTTGCACCCATCAAGAATCAAATTATGGTTTTAAATGTAAAGAAATAACAACTTAACCACTTGATCAATAAATATTTTTGTAGAGAATTAATGTAATTTTTATATAAACTTGATTTATTGCACAACCAACGGTTCTAGAACAAGCCGATCATAAATCTCGGTTGCAATGTTTTAGAACCGGTAATCTCGAGATCACTTTTCGATCCTAAATTGAGAATCGACCTATTAAAAAATCGATCACCCCAAAATAAACTCACATTAAATTGAAATCGAGGTACTGATATAAATAAATGAGAATCCTTATGTTGGGTCACGAGCATCATGGACAGAAAATTCATTCTTATTTTTCACGTCATCTCATTTCAACTTTTTGTTTCTCTTTTTTGTTTTTCTTTTTCTAAATCTGTAGGAGATTTACAACATGCATGGGGAAGAAAATATTGGGTAGTCACGCCCCACCATGTCAACATGGTCTCGAGTGTTTAACACGTGTCCTCGGTGGATGTCGCTTTTGTATTTTTCATCTCCTTCGTTTACAACCCCCACCAAACCCCTGCTTCTGCTTTCTTACTTCTTTGCAATGCCTATTTCCCGTGAAGTTAGACTTTGAGACGTAAATACATTATCTTTAAGAAATTATTTACCCCACAACGATATTAATGATCGCTTGGAAAAGTCCTTTTGGGTACAACATAATCTCAAATGAGAATACCATATATTAATTTGATATTTCTCCAATAACTCTAAAAAGGAAAATAATTAAAAACAATAGCTATATTTTTTTGAGAAAAAAAAATCGAGAAGTTAAAAAGTATTGAGACAGAAACAACAAATTCATAACAATATTTTTTAATAGGTACATCCTTTCCTTTGAAATGTTGCATTAACGGATATTGTTTCAAAAGACAAACTGGAAATTCGGATTATAAGAATTAGTTGTTTTTTTCGAATTTTTTTTAATAACCAATTTTTTTTAAATATCCACTAAAAAAATATTCATTTCAACGGATACACACTCATATATTTTCGTCAATTAAACAGATTAAAAATAACCATCGCACGCTCATATCTTCTTTACGAGACAAGACATCTCTTGATCTATTTCACAAACAGACTATCAAGAGCACCACCAACCATACCATCCTCGTTTAGCAGTCATAACTACGAAGATGCTCTCATCTCTTCTTTGTTTGCTGACAAATATGGAGCTCGACGTTCCATCGAGCTTTGCCGTTGGCAACAAGCTCCACAGCGGCGTCGGTACATGGAGGTGAGGCAACGAAGGCAGAGGGAAGGTAGTCGCAGGTGGGCACGGTGGCCATGGCGGGGTGATCGGCTCAAGAATGAGGTTACGGTGGGCTAGAACCTGTTCCTTTGTTTTTCTATTCGATTTTTGAGCTAGTAGTAATTGCCGTCCTGACGTCTCGTGTATGGCCGTCAGGATCTCAACCTCGCCGGTCGGGGCAATGGACGGGCCGGTTGTGGCTACATATGTAGCGGCTTAGGATTTGGAATTGAATTCTATGCCAGATTTTTTTTTTGGTTAGAATTCTGCGTCAAAGTTGGATAGCTCCGTTCATGAAGAAGAAAAGTGTAGCGAAAGAGAGAGGGGGTTAACGGATATGAGGAAGAACCTGAAAAGTGGGGCCATCCGAGACACGTGTACCACACCGACGTCGCGGAGCGGGTTTACTTCATTTTTTTTTTTTGAAAAGTGTGTCCATTTAGGACAGGATTAATTCAAAAAATAAAAAACACACAAATTTTAGGTCGAGTGATAATTCTGGTCCGAACTTTTTTTTATCTCATAAAAAAATATCAACTTTAGGTCGAGTGACAATTCTGTCTCGAACTTTTTTTTTTGTCTCATAAAAAATTTACCAACTTTTACCCTTGTTCCAAATCTGATCTCCCGTTGACTCTCTATCAAAAAAAGGTTATGGCGGTGAGCTTGGCGGATCTTATCTATGGCGTTTGTTGACGGGCGGTGGTCTACAGCTTCAGATTACAATGAAGTCTGGCAAGAGAGATTCAATCTTGAGATATTTTTTACTTGCTGGTGAAGTGAAGGAGACGAATAGTTTCACCATTATTCTTTAAGCTGTGACTTAGAAAATAATACAATAAATAATGTTTTAAATCCAGTTAGTAAGTCATGTGGATTTATTGTTGAGGTGGAATAGTTAAATTGGATAATCAATGGTTCTAAATTAATGGGGTCAGATTTGGGATTTAAGTAGAAGTTGGTATTTTTTTACGAGACAAAAAAAAGTTTGGGCCATAATTGTCACTCAATCTAAAGTTGGTATTTTTTTACCAGCCAAAAAAAGTTTGGGTCGGAATTGTCACTCGACCTAAAGTTGAATTTTTTTTTTTTGCATTAGGCCATTTAGGACACGTGTTAAACACTCGGGATCACGCTGACACGGTAGGGAGGGTCTACCCAATATTTTATTCCCCATGAATCTTGAGAAAGCATGAGGAGTCCTTCGTGCACATTAATGGAGATGGGTGGTTTTTTGTTCGGCCAATCTTGAAATACATGGTTGGTCTTGCAGCCATGAAATTAGGTGACACGATATCCTTCAAACTAACTATGTATAGCAGTTCAATAGAAAATCCTAATTAAAATTAGAAGAGGGGACCGTTTTTTCTATTGATATGCACATAGGACAAAAGAATAGAAAAGTCTTTTATGAATGACCTAACTTTGATCAATCGGAAACTCCATCACGGTTTGGCCTACAAATATCGGCCGTGCATATCATATGATCAGACAATAAAAGCTTACAAAAATATACCGGATAAATGTATCAAAGATAAGAACTTGCCTAGACAAAATAGCCATTGCGATAAGAAAATTTTATAGAGCCCGGTCTTATGTAATGGTGTTTGAACTAGCGACTTATAAAATGTTATAAATTTACGTGGAAATACACAAGACTAGTTCATTATAATGAATAAACATCAACTGACTTCAATGTTGCAGCTCAAGAGCATCTAGAAATTTCTTGATGATCGCACATTCTTAAGAGTTGTAGTCATGATACGATGTTTCGATGGGGAGAGAGAAAGGGAAAGGGAAAAAGAAAGTGTCATTTCTATTACTTTCTTTCCTTTGGCATGATATAGAATGTGGTGTCATTTAATTTGATTAGGCATAGTCAAGAGCAAAATAGTCTACACTTGCCAAAATTAGGTGACACATTATCCTTCGAACTAATTATGTATAGCAATTCAATTGAAAATCATAAATAAAATTATATGAGAAGACCGTTTTTTCTATTGATAGGCACATAACAAAAAAGTAAAGAAAAGTCTTTTATGAATGACCTAACTCTGATCAATCGAAAACTCAATTACAATTTGGCCTACAAAAATCGGCCACGCATATGACACGGTCGAACAATAAAAGCTTACAAAAATGTACTGGATAAATGTATGAAAGATAAGAAAATTTCCGGACAAAATAGCCATTGCAATAGGAAAAGTTTATAGAGCCCGGTCACATGCAATGGCATATGAATTAGTAACTTATAAAATGTTATAAATTTATGTGGAAATACACAGGACTAGTTCATTGTAATGAATAAACATCGACTGACCTTCATGTTGCAGTTCAAGAGCGTCTAGAAATTTCTTGACGATTGTACATTCTCAAGAGTCATAGTCATGATGCAATGTTTCGATGGGGAGAGAGAAAGGGAATGGGAAAAAGAAAGTGTCATTTCTACTAGTTTCTTTCCTTTGGCGTGATATAGAATGTGCTGTCATTTAATTCGATTAGGCATCGTCAAGAGCAAAATAGTCTACACTTGCCAAAATTAGGTGACACATTATCCTTCGAACTAAT